TGGTGGAGGACAGTTTTAACACACCAAAAAAAACTATTTTATTTTAGATAAATTTGCTAATTAATTGACTTACTATTACTCACTACAATTAATCTGAACATTATGACAGATAAATATGATACTGGTATTTACAATAAAATTATAAAAGTATTCAGTTGTAAACTATTCTAAGAATATTCCCACAAAAATATGTAAAGAATTCTACTGTATATTAAATCATACAATGTAATAAATGACCCCAATTAATTTTTTTTAAAAATCGTTATTTAATAAATTTCAACTTAACAACTATACTTTTTAAATACAACAGATAACATGTGTGTTTAATTGAAGACTTTGTTGTATAGATTTTAAGTTACCTAATACTCAAGAATACTTTGTTTCTCTGTTTTGAATTGACTGAATCATGTATCAAAATGACAAATATAAGAAAGTTTAGTCAAATATTAAAAATACTATTTAGGATACGTTTAGTGATAAAATTTTTTTATCAGAAGGGGGATTTTGTGGAGATTTTAGTAACCATTGAAGTTCAACCAGGTCTGTTGGGAGATATCAACTCATTGAAGACATTGGTGAATGGTTGCTCAATTTCGTGGATTGTTTGAAGTTAGACACTAACACCGTTGGATACCGACCGACTAAGCGGTCTATCGGTTAAGTGCTCTGGCGTGAGAGTGGTAGGTTTTGGGTTCAAATCTCGAGAGATGGGATCATGGATGCGCACTGTTGAGGAGTCCCACGAAGAAGAAACGGCCGTCCAGTGCTTCCAGGTTTTCCATAGTGGTTTAGCTTCCATTGACTGACGATCTTAACTATATAAATTTTTTGGCTTAGTTGATTAAAACGCTTTAAAGAATAAAGTTGACCTGAATAAACATGACTGTAAACTAACTTATTAAGTTAATGATATGGTTAATTCGGTCTAAAATATGTATGTTATATATTTTTTCGTGTCAATAAGTATATATATATATATATATATATATATATATATATATCCCTTCAATTTACTTATATAAGAAATTATTTCTTTAACCTTTTTTTGTATAAAGCCATAGTCGGCAAGCGAATGAATTTGAGAATTTCAATAGAAAATCAAAATAATTTACTGATGAGAAATGCCATTTTTTCTTAAAAACGGAGGAAGTATCCTATCTTTTACATGGCCAGCGGTATACGCTTGAACATGTTAGTCAAACGTATATTTTGTAAGTAAGTATTATATTACTGAATTTTAGTAAATGTTCGAATCATATACTGAATCCTTTTATTTGTATTATTCAATTTATTATTTTAATGACTATATAAAAATAAAATACATTTAAGCATAACCGACACTTAGTAAGTTGAAACATGTTAGCGGCTATTTGAATACAACGAATAATTCATAAACAAATGAAGTGAAAGGTATTGGATTCGAATCTCACCATGAATCTTATCATTATCCTTCAAATACATTCAGGTGACTAATCTTAAGTAGATTGAATGTTATTGTTTACGAAACGTTTAATTGTGGTTTGGTTAGTTTGGTTGTTTAAAATATTTATAACGAGAAAAAAGATAAAATAATTTTTGAAATTGATTCTTTTGGTTTGACCGATAATTGAACCACAAATTTTTAGAAAAGTTAAGTAGTTTAAATAGAGTAAATGGTCTTTAAATGACTTACCAAAACACGTATATTTACATAAAAAGGATGATGCTAAGAGTTAGATTTTACTTAATAAAGAAAGCCAGTTGCATTGACTTAGCACCGATTGTATAATTTTAAAATGCTCACTTAAATTTGCGGCTGAACCTGATATAGTCGTTCAGAATGACAATCAAGAATTCATAACTAAACAATATATCGTAATGAGTTCAACATCAACTGAAGATACCTAAGGTAACATATATGTGTGAGATACATCCACCCATAGACTATACAAAATCAAATTCTAGCATCAAAAGATTGTTAAACAAAGTGAGAAACATAGCTTCACATTATATAAATTATTTGTTAATTCATACTCCTTTAACTGTACATTCTTCAACTTTCTATTGAACTGAGCAACATATACATGTTAAACGATATTACTTTATCAAGATTTGCGTATATATTTAGGCTTTGTATTCAAAACAAAAGTTGACCAACAATATAATGTACATAATTTAATGCGATCATTTATTTTATTTAAACAAAAATAACCTTAACATAAATAAAATGATCAAAAAATACTATTTGTAAACAACTCCACAACAATTTAAGGTAGCAATTAACCAAGATAATGATAAACTACACTAAAATAATATTGACACTTTTATTATGGAATTTATATTCATTATCATTTAACTTGTCCTCTATATTAAATTTAAGTGAAATAAAATATAATCGCCAGTTATTTTTTTATCTCTATGGCAATTAACTGTTTAATAATAAATACATAATTAATTCATTTCTATCATTATTTTTTATTTCTCTACTTATTCCAAAAACGTATAACTAACTGCAACCATACATTATAATATATAAGGACTTTCATTCAATTTTGATCGAATAGTTTCAAAGAATTTGGGCGCTAAGTTGATATAAGACATTAATAAGAAAGGGTGTATTTATAAAATCTCAGCGAGTGAATTCGAGGTAAATCCAACGTTTCGTCTGGTGACGTTTTGCAAAGGCGAATGGTTGGATTTACTTCAAATTCACTCGCTGAAATTTTACAAATACATTCTTCTTCATTAATGTCATATATTATAATGTTCTAGACTATACAATATGCACGTTTCGGGGGAAAAAACTAGTGGACAATTAAGTAAATAAATTGAGTTTTTAAAATTTGGAATGTTCCATAAGAAATTTCTTACGTTTTTCCAACAATCTTCCTTGATTTTGAGTTTTCCAATATTATGATTGAAACTATGTGTACTGTTTTGTTTTTTCTCAGGTTTCAAACAAATGAAAGGTATTTACAGATTTGACAAATTCATATCAATCTATTAAGATCATTATTCTTTCTTTATTTACAACAAATGAAATGCATTCACCCCGATAACATTAATAACAATGAAAAATTAGGGAAATTAAATAGTGATTTCATTCTAATTTATAGATAGTCATTAATATACAACTATTTGGTACTACTCTTGAACTTACAATGTGATGTTTTATTAAAGTTTGAAAGAAATTAATAAGTCTACAAATATTATTATTTACATATTACTTAAATCTCAATGAAATATTTTGATTGCTACAAAATAAAAACAGTAACAACAACAACACCTCAAATTCATAGTTTATATTACAATTTGAAATCTATCAATTCACATATAAACTTTAATATAATTTAAAGCAATTAGTCCTTTTAATAAATTTCGATAGTGTAATAAGAAGACGAAGATTATCCGAACTATATGATATATTAGTGCAATACATTTCAAGACTTAACCATACGAAAATTCAAACCCCCTTTGTGTATTCAAAAACAGTTTATTCTCACCTTAAACCTACCCTGGTAATATTAGCTTATTATTCAGAGTGATTAGGTTTCAAATTGTTTTCACATTATTATTATTATCATCCTTGTCTACTCTTATCCCCCCCTATTTACAGTCTAGCCGACCTTTTGTTTTTATATATAAATATCTTTAACAAGTACATTATGTGTGATTAAATTATTCGAAATGTATTGCACTAATATATCATATAGTTCTGATAATCTTCAATCATCTTATTACCCTATCGATATTTAATATAATTATGAACATGTAAATTGTAGAATAGAATTTTCTAGAAATAAATTTCTTTTAATTTATACGTGTGTATTGTCATGGAAAAAAAGTAATAAATTTTTAATTACATATTTTATAAAAATAACTAAACATAAATTGAGTAAATTTATTTTATAAATTAAAAAAGAAATAATGAATAATAATAATATTTATAATGTTTAAGTGAACATATGATTTAAACATAGAGAATTATATCTTTTAAAAGATAAATTACTATTATATTACATTGATATTGCTTGTTATTTGTTAAATGTCTACTAATTTGAAGAATAAATAATTTGAATAGTTAAGATCATGAATCAATTGAAGCTAGACCACCATGGAAAACTTGGAAGCACTAGACGGCCATTTCGTTCTTCAATTGATTCATGATCTCAATTATCAAAATTACTATAATATCAATAAAACTCTTTCTGATAATAATCAATCTATGCTCACTAGTGACTGGCTACATGAGGTATTTCCTGGAGTTTTATTGAGAAGCAGTGACCAGTGGAGTTCAACCAGGTCTGTTGAGAGATAGTAACTCACTGAGGACAATAGTGGATTTGTCGCTCAATTTCATGGATTGATTGAAGTTAGACATCAACACCGTTGGATGCTGACCGTCTCAGTGGTCTATCGGTTAAGTGCTCTGGAGTGAGACTGTTAGCTCCTGGGTTCGAATCTCGTGGATGCGCACTGTTGAGGAGTTCCACAATAGGACGGAATGGCCGTCCAGTGCTTCCAGGTTTTCCATGGTGATCTAGCTTTAATTGACTCATGATTTCAACTATGAAAATACTGAAATCTCCACAAAACCTCTTCTGAAAACAAAAAATTAACTGGTTACTATTTTAGATAAATGTCAAAAAAAGAAATTTTAACTGAATTCATATGACGTACATTTGTTGTTTGTTAATATGTTAAGATCATCCTCAAGTTTTGCCTAACTTTGTCATATTTTTAAAAAAAGTATATTACGAAGTATAAATACAATAAAATAAAGTAATAGTGATGTCATTTATAATTCATAGTAATGCACATAATTCAAGTGATGTGTTGATTCCTAACAAATTACTATGGATATTAATGGAAATAAACAAAAATGAATAGTTATAAACGAACTTGTCAGTTTATACTTCTATTTTAATGACTTGATCAGGAAATATATAAAAATATATTCCAAGTTTTTTATCATTTTATCAATTAACATAATCATAATTGATAACTGACATATTACTTACATATTGGAATACTTTCAATATATAATCCTTCTGAATGTTGTGATCCTCTTCTTTCTATTTCTCTTTCAAAAAATTGACTTTCTAATCTATGAATTGGATAAATGACATCTGAAGTACTAGTTGGAACAGTCACAGAAGTTAATGGAAAACGTAAAGACGAAGCATCTGTTGTACTACTAACACGATTTATATCAGTAGTAGTAGGTGTAGTAGTAATAGTAGTTATTGTTATTGTAGCAGTTGTTATAGTACTAATAGTATTAGTAGCAGTAGTTGTGTATGGTAAACAATGTTCCTCTTCAAATGACCAGTAAGATTTATTTGAATCACTCATGTTTTAAAATTGAATTATATTTTTACACTTATTATTACTGTGTAGATTTTATTATATTTAAATAAAAATATAATATTCATTTAAACATGGATAAATAAATTATCCAATAGAATTATACGTTCATTATTAATTACACAATTCTATTAAAAACTATAGGAAAATTAACTCATTAATTTTAACCTTGACTTTAACCAATGAAATAATCATGCGTAGGATGTTTAGTGTATTAAAATACACTAAAAAATTTTTTTTTAATACTCTTGTCTATTAATGTTCTTATCTTTATATTCATGTCTCATTTTAGGCAATGATAATAACTAAACTAACAAACATGACCACCCACGCTTTATTAACTGTTGATGAGTAAAAAGAAAAAAAAATTTATGTATGGTCTAATAAATTCTACTTTAAATTAACCTTATAAACAAACCACAATGAAAAAATATAATCAATTCAAATGATTTTAAAATATAAATTGGTGGATAAAGTTGACATTCTTTATGAATTTTTAAATTTTATAAACATGATATACATTATTTTAATTAATAGATTTGTTATAAACAAAATTTGATTTCAGCAAAACAAAATAAGATAAAATACTCATCATTTTCATACAAACTAAATTATGTATATACAAATAAACACAAATTAATAGGATATATTCTCCTTCTTTCTTTCAGATTAGAAAGAAATATCAATCTATACATGTAAGAAATTGTTTTATTAATTGATAGATTATTGTTTGTTTTTTTACTGTACTTAGACATTATTTAAGGATTGCCTAGGATAGGGTTCGATGGAGAATGCTAGTGGGTGGCCTATGCTCATCCACGAGAGGTAATAGGAGTAATATAATATAGACATTATTTACGATTGATGATACATATTACGTGATGAAACTGAGTATAACAATAACAATAGTAATTATTATTATTATTAGGCTAATTAATTGATTAAAAGAAAAACTAAATGGGAAATATCAATAGATTAAATTCATTTGAACCTTTGATTGACGAAACTTAAATTTTCATATTTCAAATCATGAGCCGTTTGAAGCTAGACTACCATGGAAAACCTGGAAGCACTGGATGGCTGCTTCGTCCTATTATGTGATTACTCACCAGTGCGCGTCCACGATCCCGCACTCGCATAATTACAACCCAGGACCTACAAGTCTCGCGCCATAGCACTTAACCGATAGACCACTAAGCCGACATCCAACAGTGTTGTAGTATTTTGTAATATTGTAGTATTTTTTCAAAATAAAAAACATAATTTTTACATAATTAAAAATAATGTTTACCTGAAATAGTTAAATTTTACATAATTTTTTTTATAAAAAAATGTATTTATTTATCGAATTATTGATGGATACCATTTAAGTTGTCAAATGACAATGATTAATTATTAAATGTATAAGAACTTTCATTAAAATTAGAGCGGATAGTTTCATAGTAATTAAGCGCCGAGTTGATGTAAGACATTGAATAGGAATAATATATTTGTAAAATCTCAGTTTAAATGAATTTGAAATTTTTTGAAAAAGCTTGAACCAGATTGTCAGATGAAACGTTGGATTTACTTCAAACTTATTCGCTGAGATTTGACAAATATATATATTATTCCTATTTAATGGATTAATTATCAAATTATATTAATTCATCTATAATCTATCTCATTAATTACTAATTTATTATTCCATATATATGAAAGAAATGTAACTCATCTTTCATATACTACTTTATTAATTATTATTAACTTACCTATAAAAAGTTAAATTTAAGTGATATAAGTAATATAATAAGCTGAAAGTTCAATATAAAGTTGTTGTTTGTTTTTAATCATCAAGAAATAATGAATTTAATTCTTGAAACTGTTTTATAACTGATTATTTTTTAAATTTTTATTTTGACCTTGAATAAACTAACATTTCATTATGTCAGTTGTAAAAGACACTAATATTATTATTATTATTATGATTATTATTGAACCATTCAAACTTTGATTGATTTTATTATAGAAATCGATAAATGAAATAAAATTTTTATAAATAGAATTATTCAAATTTGTGATAGAATTCATTTAAATTTAAAACAAAAGAAAAAAATCAATTTATTACATGTAATATAAAAAGATTAAAGCTGATTGTAATTAAATATCCAAGTATAATGAAGTGGATGAATGTTTTTTTTAATCAATCAAATTTATCATCTATAAATTTGGTTACTTATTCTCTGAAGAAGTAACTTACACTGAGTCATGAAACGTTAGAAAATCTAATTTTTTTTTACTTATTGGGATAATACAAATATATTGATTTATTGATATCATCTATAAAGCTTAGTTTTTGTATTACTTATATTATCTGTAAGAATATGGGATTGTATACGTCCGTTAGTTTAAAAGATTCATTATATTGATTATTCAGCACATAAACTGTTATTCATGTATAATATTTGTGTAATCTTAAATATTGTCAATAAATTAATAAGTAGACTAAGCATTTGGATACTAATATTGTTGATATGTAGTATTAGATTACTAGAAATTCAATTTGTTTATAAACTGTTCATATTATTGTATCTCTTAAGAAAGATCTAAATCATAAAACAATGTTTGGCTCTTAGTATTACTTGTTTGAATCTTCCCATTGATGTTTAGGATTGCAACTGATCACTCTCTAATTGGCATATGTACATACTGTGCATTAACGATGAACTTGTAAAAGAGGTATATAAATTTAAATGGTTGTATCCATGAGATCAGAGAATTTGCATTCAGATTTTCACTTAAATAATATTAATTCTTCATTATCTTGTATTCCATATTAATATAATGCTGGTGGGTGGCCTATGTTCCTCCACGAGGGGTATCAGGCGTAACTAAGTAACAAAGTGTAATACCTTTCAGACAACTACCAATAACTTCTTAGTATACTAATAAGTGATAAACAATGAAACCTGAGATAACAACCAGTCACAAATAAAAATGGTCAGAACAAAATTGATTTAACGCTTACGAATTGAGTAACCAACTCAATTTTGTATAAAGTAATCTCTGGTAATGTTGTCCAGAACGACAATGAAAGCATCATATATAAACTGGTTAGCTAAAAGAACCATCACCACCAAAATAAATATCTCATATTATTAGACCATAAACTTTTAAGATTCAGTCGGTTTATAAATCAAATATTTGAAAGTTATAGTGTAGAGGCCCTTGAAATTATCTTTGGATAATATGATAATTCTATTTTACGACTTTTATAAGAGTGATAGACTGTAAACTGACTTTCCATGCTTTTAGCACTATTACAAACAAAATTGCATTTTCTGTTTCATTGTCAGTACAAGAGTAGCAAATACTTCGTTCAACCAGTAAGTATATTTCATTCATAAAACGTACATTTTTAGAATACATACATACCTAGTGTCTAGCCTTATGTTTTTCTAAATGACATCTCTTTTGTCTACAAATGTAAATTAAGGTTCATAGGATTTCTCTGTGATAGTTCTTTGGAGATGTATTACGTAAGCATGAATTTTTAATACTTTCTGTCATCCCTCAGAACCCGACACACATATTTATTATTGTCTAAGAAAGTAAAACTCATATTACCATCATGATCTGATCTGAACTGAAAAACTAATAAAGCCTCAAGGAGTAGTAATCAGTAAGTTACATCCTCATTTCAAAATTTTCAAGGGTTCTCAATCACAGCTTAATATACGTTTATAAAGTTGACATACATTTTAATTTCGTGGTAGTTTTTTTTAAAGCAAATGGACTACTACTATACTTAAAGATATCACCCTTAATACTATGTGTGGTATTTAATGCATAAACCATTTTCTGATAAGTATAAGTCTCCTACTTGTAATATCTAAGGAAATTCTACTACGCATATATATACAATCAGCTCATGCTATGACACTTATTTACTTAGCGGGAGTTTTGTTCTCTGAGCTGGATGATTAGGTCGTAGAGCTTTCGTTGTTCTTCAAATGTTAGGACTGTGAAAATTTTACATGTAGGTCGATTCGACTAATAAAAAATACTTCTTAAAAAAGTAATGACATTAAAAATACAGCCAAACTAGTTCTCATAAGGTAATACATTTTATATAAAATCATTGAGTTTCTTATTATCTGATGTTATTATTGTTGCGTCATATATTAATCAGTTATAAGGCTTCATCTATAAGATTTGCTAATAGATATTTAGACGTTCTACACTTTCAGTTCACTTACAACAAATTAATGAAATTGGTGTAGCCAAGCTCAGTTTATATGAAATCTCCACATCTTTCAAAACATGTCAGTTATCGACTAAAAGTTGGAGGGATCAGTCAAGTTTTAGTTGAAACATGTAAGTAATATTTACATAATAATTAATAACTACTTGGTTTTTTATCAGAGTTACCGGAATAAATCGATATAAGGCATCTATAAAATGGCAGTAATAACTTCTAAATTGATCATAATGTGTATGAACATTGAACAACTCACGTTCATCACACAGAAAGGATCAACTGTATAGATTTTTTTAGTGACACAAACTTAACATTCTATGAATAGATGATCTATTTCTATTGATTTCAACCATTAGTATTGAGTGCTGATGATCCTTCGTTAATAAAACATTTAGAAAATTGTTGAAAAGTCAAAGGATCACAGAATGGCAAAGCAAGGATATAGTACATAAATTTAGTAGTGCGGAATTCTTGAAGGTAGATATTATAATTATTTGCATCCACTTTCTCATTTACCTCTGCGTTAAGTTAGTTTCTGATCATCTGATTAACTGACTTTGTCGATATAAGCTACTAAGTTGTGTTTGTTGATATGTCTATTGATCGCAGGTTGATGTGAACAGAAGGCCTTTAGGAAGATTCTAACATCATTAGATAATACTCATTTCGAAGCTCTTACATTTTGTTGGGTTGATATGATGAATGACATTTCATAGACTTTAACTGCTTGTCAAAGGATGTGAATCTGATATCGAAATTAAACTTCGCGATAACGGTTACCTGTTGTGAATTGAATTTGAACTTCACAAATAATCACAAACATGTTGTTGCACTGGAATTATATTCAAACAAG